ATTTTCAAAGTTTTAATAGTGGAAGAAAAGGTAGAAAAAGAGAAGCGCAAAAAAGAAAAAATAATCTAAATTTAGAGTTTACAGGAAAAAATGAAGTTTGCTGATCAAAAAAAAAAAAAGAAGTGAGCGACCACAGTTTTTTTCTGTACACTGATTTGTTTTCTGGAACACATTTTTGGTGGATACAATTTGCTGCTCAATTTCTGCCTACACAGTAAAACGAAAAAAGAAAAAAGAAAAAAAATAAATGTGTAATATACAATTTAAAATTTTAGAGGAAATTTTTTTTTTGTTGCTTTTCTACTTTTACGTGTATTTTTTTTTCTTTGTCTTTGTCTTGTATAGCGGTTTTCTCCTTTTTTTGGTTAATTTTAGCTTCTGGTTACCGGTTGCATAGATCATCACCAATGATAGCCTCTGTATTACCGGCAGACAAAGATTAAACAAAGCTATTTTGAAGTACAGTATCCAGTTCAAAAAAAAAAAAACCACATAAAAAAAGTAGCAAAATTCAAAGAATGAGAAGTGGTGGTGAACTGTAGGAAGACAAAAAAAAAAAAAACGGAGGAAAAACTGTCGAAAAAAAAAGAAAAAACAATGCTATATCCTTGACAGATCAAGGACAGTCGATAAGCAATCAAAAATGAAAAAAAAAAACTTATTTCTGAGGAATTATATAGTGGAAAATAGAAGCAAAAAAATTAAATAAAGGTTGGAAAAAAAAAATAAGGAGAACAAAATTTTATGTTTTGTTGTTTTCGTCATCGTCATCGTCGTCGTCGTCGTCGTTATCGTCGTCGTCGTCGTCGTCGTCGTCGTTGCCGTCGTCGTCGTCGTCGTCGTCGTTGTTGTTGTTGTTGTTGTTGGTATTTTTTGCTGTAACTCTATTTGCTTAGGCCAATATTTAATTAGTGATATAATTTTGAAAAAAAAAAAAAAAATTTCTAATTTTTTTTTTGTGTTTCTTCTTCTCCTTCCTGCATTTTTACCAAACGATTCTTCTCAAAAAAAATGTAGAATTTGTGTTCAAAACAAAAATGTCTTTCGTTCTGTTATTTTTTGTAGTATTTATTTGATTCTATTTGTAGAGGCAAAAACAGCCAGCAGTTATACAGCGCTATATATCAATTTAGTTTGACTAAAGCAAAAAACAAAATATTATTTGCCTCTGTTTTTTTCTTCCTTAAAATAATTAAGAATATCTGATTAAAAAAAAAAATCAAAAGAAAACAGCT